CGGGGGGGACAGCCCGACTGGTGGCCGTTGTGGGGTGGGCAAGCCGGTGGCCCCGGGCGGGGGGAGCAGTGGGTACCACGCTGAGGGTGATGCCCTGTGGGGGAGGCAGCGGGTACCACACCGGGTACCACGCCAAGGGTGATGCCCTGTTCACCAGGATGCAGCAGACACCCCCAGGACGCAGACCAGGGGGGCACAGACAGGGATGGGGACACGGGGAGTCCCCTACAGTGGCCACCTTCATCCTCCTGCCATGCAGCATCTCTCCCCAAGCATCGGGTGCTTGTACCCTAGGTGGGTGAGGGCACCCTGTGCCAAGGGGGAGCTGGGTGCCCCCCATTCCAGCAGGCACAATGCCTGCGGCAAAGCCTCGGCACGGGAACGAAAACTCCCCCAGGCCCCATCAGTCTAGACACTCGCTTTTATTTGCCTTGGGGTTTCCTCCTTTACACAAATAAACTCCAAAGTCTAACTGTTTAGGCCTAAAACTGAGTCGCAAAGGAAACAGCAGAGCTTGTAAAAACACACAAACAACCAATCAAAAACAATAAAAATAACCTAAAGGCGGTTTCTCTTTGGCCAGCGGAGCCTGGTGGGCACCCACGCGTGTCCCCATGCCACCAGCACCCTGGTGCCACCGGGAGAGCGCACAGACCTTCCCCTCCAATAAATAACACAGGGACCCCAAGGCCGCGGGGATACAAGTGCTGGCCCCGGCGCCTGCATGCCCCGGCACCTCCCTGCCTCCCCTCTGGAGCTGCACAGGCAGACAGACGGACAGACCAAGCACCCCATCACCTGGCCGCCCACGGTGCCCTGCCATCCCTCACAGGGACCGGCACAGCATCCCTCAGGCCCGGGGCTGGGGACGGGCTCTCCGTCCTGCTCCGGTGGGGACATCCCGCAGTCTCATGGCCGGTCCCATCCATCCCCGGCACTGAGAGGGATGTCTGAGGGGACGGGAACGTGGCCGGGGGTCCCGGCCCCCGGTGGCATGGGAACAAGTCTCCGAGGGGTTGCCAAGGGGAGCGGGCAAAGGTACCGGCTGGTGAAGGTGGGTACCGCGGGATGCTCCAGGGGTGAAGGGACCCCTGCATGGGGCTATGGACACCAGTGGCCGTGCCCGAAGCGTGTGCTCCCCAACCTTTTTGCGGTGCCCAAGAGGAGTATAAAAATAGAGCATCTTTAGAAAAAGAAGTGGGGAAGAAGCAGTGCTGGAGGGTGCCGGGAGAAGGGGCAGAGTCTGATGAGGCTGAAGGCTGTGAGGATGAGGAGAGCAGGGCCCGGCGGGGGGCGCGGCCGGGCGTTACGTGCGTGGGCGAGGGGCGCGGGTGCGGCGGGGGGGGGGGGCGGGGGGGGGGGGGGAGGCCGCACTGCAAAGCGTC